TAAGGCGCACCAGATTATAAGCAAAACAAAACAGTCAGATAAATCGAACTTTACTCCACTCATTCTTCTTGCATTGATTCATTAATGTTGAATTCTCTCTGCTGCTCTTTTCCCATGATGCTGCAGTATATTAATGACTAATCTGGTATTGTGGATGGATTTTCTCAGTTGTTCTCCTGACTGAAGATTTGGTCCGTTTCGTCATCCTGCCATGCGATTGCATTTTGTCCCTAACCATCAGGAACCCTCACGTTAACTTTTATCGAGTGGAAAAAATGTTAGTGTTCATCCTCCAGCTTCACTGTTTTATGTTATGCTAACATAGCTGTGTCTGCTAGCGATCACGTAGCACATCATTATATAGGGCTTTGGAGTTGACGTCACGCCGCAATGCATTGTGGGAGCGCAGCTCCATTTTCGGGGTCTACGAATCAAAACAAACACACTGTGTTGGAACGACGACGACAAGAAACATGCTTAAAAGCAGCTCAAAAGAAAACGGACGGTATAGAGACCGATTGCGTCCAGAGGCGAAGCAGCGGTACTTGAAAAAAAATAGAGTGCATCGCAAATCTGGACCCATTTGAAATACGGCAGTGGAGTAAAGACCCAGACGACTTACCGCCACTGTCCTACCCCGATATCTTCACGTATCTTGTTTGTGGAGTAAGCGCTTACACAGCGAACCAGTTTCGTAATTACAAGTCACTGGAGGCGCACATCCAATTTACAAATGGCTGGGTGCAAGATTTGGCTATTTTCAAGCCGCCAAACTCTGAGTACGTCGTCAAAGTAAGTCAGCTGGAGTGCACCGAGTGAAATAGCCATTTTCCACCCCCCACCATAATTAATGTTACACATTTATCATTGAACTGCTAAAATATCGTTATCATATTATATGCCCATAATTGTAAAGTACATGCAAATTAACACATTGATAATCGGGTAAATTATTAACGCCAATTTGTGTCCTTCCTGTCTCATTTCATTTATTGTCTTTACATCAACCAATCAAGTCACTCCATTCTATGTTTGATCGCAATTTCTATAACTTCCGAGACCACCAACGATAATATTATTCAGCTATAAAGTGTGATGTGAACATATTTAGAACTTACCGGAATGAAAATGTCTTGAGCACACCAGCTGATATCTGGAGACGTAACAGAACTTGATATCAGCTCGTCTCACGGCTGCTATCCAGGCTAGACGCCTTCGTTTGGTAATATCCGATACATGAGCTCCTTCATGTTGCTTCCAGGTTGGGAAAGCATAAAAAGACAATCCAAACTTATTCCCGTGCCGGTCGTAAGATCGAACATTGCAGCCGACCACACAGCAAGTACGAACCATGGCTATGCTTTCGCTCCTTACTTAGACCCCCAAAATGGCGGATCGGGCCAAAATCCTTTCCACGCCCACCCCCGTGACATCACGCTCCAAAGCCCTATACCAGCTAGCCCAACTTCAGTAACCCTACAAACGTCACTGCTGTTTAGTTTTCTGTCTTCATTTATGTTGGAAGTGATAGCAGAGCTGTACGTTTTAATTTTTTCAGAAATCTCTCAGTCAGAACATGCTATATCATGTTTAGGTGGAAACTAGCGAGCTAACTTCCTGCTAACTTCTAACTCCGTTAAATTTAATAAATTCTGTTTTCATGGATGCCTGGATGTTAAACTTAATTGTTACACCTGGTAAAGCAGCAACACTGATCATTTTATTAAAGATGAAAGAATTTAGAATTTAGTTTTTAACTCTCAGTGATGCTGCAGTGGTCATTTAACTTTGGGACCTGAAGTAGACGGAGTTTAGGACCCAGATTACTCCGCAAGGCTCCTGACTATGTTAGCCATAATGCTCCGACAATTCATCAAGCGGTGCGCCTTCATAGCTTACCAAAGTAATACTAAAACATTTTTTGGCAGATCTTTGAGTGCTGTGTACCACATAAAAGCAGTTTGAGGTCAGTAAGCACAACCACTGTCGAGTAAGCACTGTCGATTTTTGAGAAAATTAAAGGTTTTAATTGCGCCTTATAGTGCGGGAATATGTTAACCCCCCCTCCCAACCCAGTAAGATGCTTATTGGTTTATACGTTAATATGTCAGTTTTTGGCTCCATATATTATCAATTAATACCAGCAAACAGCACCGCCTGCTGATTGGCATTCCATCGATAATCGATTGCATTTAGATTCAATACACAGTTGATGACGTCACTGATTTTATGGGAAATGAACTGGTACTTATAGTGGTTTCCATTCTAACTGAGCACTCAAAAGTGCTTTATGCTACAGCCTCACCCATTCTCACACACATTCATACAAGCACTTTTATCTCACACTGATAGATGCATCAGGGGCAACTCAGGGTTCAGTATCCTGCTCGAGGATACTTTGGCATGCAGACTGGAGGAGTGCCGAGTGGAACCACCAATCTTTGAATTGGTAGACAAGCCGTTTTTGATTGGCTGTGTTTTCCATGCAGGGTTACTGAAATTAGACCAATCCCTGACTTTGACAAGCTATGATTCTGAAAGACAGATATGCTAAAGTTCAACTTCATATTTATTTTAACAGAAGTCTTCTATTCCTGCTCTATGATTTCTTCTTAGTCGTCTTCTGTGATCCTCAAATGCTTCCGATTCTTTTTTTTCGTCTTTCACTGAAACATTATTACAAGCCATCACTCTGAATTTGTTGTTTCTCAGCTTTGTTTTTCATAAACATGCAATGCCACTTTCACTCAAAAAAAGGCTGTGGATAATAAATTAGTACGCTTCTGTGAGGTGCAGTCGTTTGCCGTCTCACTCCAGAGGAAGCTGAGAACAGAGTGATGCTATTTTTAAAACCCCATTAATACGATGACCTTAAACAGAGCTAGATAAAAATGAAACCCAGCATGGCTCCGTTTACGGTTTACCAAATGAAGAAAGAGTGCCCCGCCAAAGTAAAACAACACAGTCCAAGTTCCAGATCTGCTCATAGCATTTGCTTATGATGGCATATTTTTTTGGCTATTACACGAGTTTTAGTCTTTTAGTGACATGATGAGGATGTCAGGGGGTCAGAGGTCACAGAGAGATGGATGAACCCTAATTTGTCTCAGACTTAAAGTGACCTGTGTGGGCTATTATGAAGCAACTGCACTTGTAGAATCATGATCAAGGAGATGAGAGGAGAGGAGCGACACTGTTGCTCACAGAAGGGTTATTAGAAAATGCTGTGTGTGTGCGTGTGTGTTGTGTGTGTGATGTGTGTGTGTGTGTGTGTGTGTGTGTGTGTGTGTGTGTGTGTGTGTGTGTGTGTGTGTGTGAGTGAGCAATTCCAGCACCTCATTATTGTTCAGTTGCTTGGAGACTGCCACAGGCCAGTGTTCACACGGCCAATTAAAGTTCCCCAGATGCCCTTGTATTTGACTCCTGTGTGTTTTCTAAAACACTGATTTTTAAAACCTTTTTTCAGATCTTCCCTTGATCAAATAGGGATGTTTTATCACAATAGAACAAATATATTCTATTTGTTCTATTATGAATAAATAATAAACATAATAGAATTTGTTTAATAATGCTTTAGATTTAAATATTATACAGAGTATGACAGGTCAGTTTGTTTAAGAAAAGTCTTACAGAAAAAGTTGATTTAAACTCTATTTGAAGGCTTACACCTTATTATTATTATTATTATTATTATTATTATTATTATTATTTTAACTATCATATTAACCACTCAATGAGCTTCTTTATTGTTTAATATTATTTTAGGTTTCCTCTGTCTGATCGCATCAAGTCGTTCTATTCATAGGCCAGAAAAAAAGCACTTAACTGTCTAAGTAATATAAAACATTAAGGAAGCTATGACTTTAAATCAATGAAGGATTAAGTATAGGAACTTCATGCCATCCATGGGGCTTAATAGAAAGCTTGGCAGTGAAAAACATGTGACATTGGATTGTTTAAGGTCCTAAATTAAATTTTGCGTCCTAAGGTTCAGAAACTTTGTACATAAGTTTTTACCCCTCAGCTGTAAAAGGCTGATGGAGTATTCTTGTCACTCCACCGGGCAGGCTGGGCGGGCAGAGTGAAAACCTAACCTAAATTTGTGAATGAGATAACTTGAGAATGTGTAGGAGTGTAGGAGCTTCAGATTGATACCATAGGTGTATCTACAAAAAAAATCTTGAACATGTTTGAATTGCAAAGTTCAAGTTTTATTGAAATCTTGTGAACCCGATAACTCCAGAATGAGCTTGAAATCAATGACACAGGCACGTTTACAAATCATCTCAGACTACTCTGAATCTCTGTGACATGAACCTAAAGTGAAAGGTCAAAGTTCAAGTTTTCTGAAAATCTTGTGAATGCGATAACTCGAGAAGAGGGTAATGTAGGATTTTCAAACTGATGCCATAGGGGTGTCTACATAGCAGGCTGAGCTGTACTACTGGTGGTTCAGATGGGTCTCTCTTTAGTCCTGTCACCTCAAGAATTTCTCCTCATTACACATTTGGCTGTCTTTACATGTGTAAAGTTAAAGAATGCTGAGAAGATGCATAAGCTATGAAAAATACTAAATAAATTCCTGAAGAATACTTCAGGCCTGCTAGAGGGTACATGCAGACATGCAGTACAGTGATGGAAGTGAGGATGATGAAGGCTTTACTTTGTTTGCTGTGGTCTGTGTATTTCGGTTGTAGGTTTCATTTTTAAATGTCGATTACAGTGACGTCAAAAAAAGTTTTTGTTTAGCCGGCTTACACCTGTAGATGCCCTGAAACTTTCATGACAGCAGTTAAAGGTTAAATCCAAACAGCCAATCAGAATTTACACAGCAGTGTGAACGCAGCATGAGAAGCAGAGAGGGGAGGGGGAGCATTCTCTCTCTATCTCCCTCTCTGTCATTGTGGCTCTCTTGCTCTTTGTCTCGCCTGTGCATACACACACACACACCTGCCTCCTGTGTGTGTGTCAGGTGTGTGACCTGTGTCTTGTGTCTGCAGTGTGGAAGACATGGAGCAGCAGAAGAAGCAGGACAGTGACTCAGGAGTCGGCAGCGACAACGGAGACAAGAGACTGTCTGCTACTGAGGTGTGTGTGTCTCTGCATCTGTGTGTCTGTGTGTGTGTGTGTGGGGGGGGGGGATTTTGTACATTTGTACCAATATGATTGTAACATGTTCAAATATAGGTGTATAGTTATGTGTGTGTATGTATCCATGCACAAATATGCGTTAGACATGTACTTAATACACTCATCTTTACTCCTTTAATCCTCATTTTCTAATCACACCAGCTCATTTTTTAAGTCTGTGTATCTGAGTGAGTGCGGTGACATTAAAAGACGGACCCGTTTAGACGTCACTCAGTTTTTCTGCAAATTGTTATTTCTTTTGTGGACTTGTGAGCAAATGATTGTGAAAAATGGCAAAAAAATGAATTGTTACATTTAACAGTAAATTGTTAAAGAGCATTATTTAAGATGAATTAATACAAAGTTGAAATAAATGACAAATAACTGAAAATTTTAATATTTGACTTTGAATTTGAGATTCTTCTGGATTTGGTCTTGAAATGAAATACTGTTAGAGCGGAGGCACTTTGGCCTCATCTTGTAATTAGGGGCAACTTAACGTTTAGTTGAAGTTATTTTCTTCATTTGAACTGATAAGCTAAACGTTTTTCTGTCTCTCGTAGTCTTTATCCGTGCAGTGCAGAGGAATTTTGTAGGATTCTGTAAACTGACGTCACGTCGCATCAGTGGGAGTCAGAGCTCTCCTTTTCATTTTAGAATGAACACATTTTTTCTTTGTTACTAATTCACACTTTTGGTCATTGTTGAGATAGAAAGCTGTTCAAGGCAGCAGCCAGCTCCAGGTCTGCAAAACTGAAATTATAAACTCTAATTTGCAACTGATATGCTTTTCCTGACCCAAAACTACGAGAAAAGTAATAAACTACAACTGAGAACGTTTACACTTTTAACACTCATCAGTTGTTGTGTTCTTGTGTTGAGGTTCTCACAGTTTTGTTTCAGCTCTGAAGCCGTTTCATTGCTTGTTTCAGCCGTCAGATGAAGACAGTCTGAGCCTTAATGTGCCAATGAGTCACATCACAGAGGA